TGGTTGGAAGGGCATGGCTTATTATGAGCTTTCACTGCGGGGCCATCCATCGATTTGGATCTCTACTGCCACCAACTAATGAGACTCAAGCAAGAAATTAAGAAAAAACGGCCGCAATGGATCACCAGAAAACGAGCGATATTTCATCATGATAACGCCAGACCACATGCATCTTTGGCCAATCAGCAATAACTAAGAGAGCTAGGTTGGGAAATGTAAATGCATCCACCATATAGTGCTGACTTTGCACCCGATTTTCACCTGTTTCGGTCTCTTCATAATTCTTTGGGTAGTGTTAAGTTAACATCAAGAGAGGACTATTAAAACTACCTGTCGCATTTTTTGTTTGGAAATCCCAAGATTACTACAGTAATGGAATTATGTTACAAAATGGCAACAAGTTATCAAACAAAATTGCACATATATATTATAATTAAATGTGAACAAACCTTTAAAAAATGTCTTGAATTTGTATATAAAATATAGTACGCGAGGTTACTATGGTCATTCGGTTAATATGGTCACTTTCTTATAGCCCAAAAATTACAGCTTGCATAAGAAGGCTATATAATACAATAGTTCTTCATCAGGCAATCAAATAATAGAGTCAAAAGGACGCAGCTATATCGACGCCATTTTAACAGTTTATATTATAGTAAATACGAGTATTGTAGTCGATTTTAGTATGGAGTAATGTAGTTAATTTTTAGAGGTGTTCCTAATTAATGCCAAAGCTTATTTGTTATTTTTTATTAATATATTAGTTATAGTATACGACTGTGTTTTTTACCTATCCTCCTCCTAGTTTTGGTTTTATAGGGCGGCAAAGCTTAAGGTGACCATATTAGCCTCACGTACCTTACGAAAAGACTTTTTCCTCGATCTTTTATAAAAAAAAAACTGCTGAATCGAATTTAGTGAAAGCCTAATCTCGAAAAAAAAACGTATTCAGTGTGCAGTCAGTGTGCAATTACGCGTTAAATAAAATTAATAATATAGTTAATGCAGAGGAAAAAAAAGAGATAAATAACACTTATGGTATAGAAATATGCACTTTCTTAGCAACTGTTAATCGATAAAATTGTTTGAAACCACTAGTTCCGAGTACCATTGATTGTTTTCTACTGTATGATGCAAGATTTTCAGACGAACAATACGCTGTTATATAACTATAAAAATCGATCTGTAATAAAACATGGAAACAAAGCTATTTGGAAACTATGTTTACATTACCCATCCACCAACACAATATATCCAAAGGTGCAACAAAAATGCAACGCATTATGATATCTGGACTCTTGAATTAAAAAAACTATACATTATAATCACACCTATCGTGTGCAACGCAATCACATCGTATCATATCGTATCCGACGCAAAGCCCGGGGATGTTCGCAAGCATCAGTGTATTCCTAGAACTTACGCGTAACATGTCATAAAGAAATATGTAGACCTTTAAAACGCGTGTACGGTGCGTTTTGTTGTCTAAATGGGAAATGAACAGCTCATTGATTCAGAAAGGCGAAATATAGGTAAATCAAACATTTTAAAAGAATTACTACCTACTTATATGTCTGAAACTCCGACTTAAAAAAATTTGGTAATAATACTGTTAAACGTTATGATTATTTAGAAAGTATCCATGAATATGTGAAATATAATGTGTTACTCCCGCAAAACATCGAAAGTTTGACATACGAAAGTACAGAAAATATCGATCGTCATCATTTTCCTGTTCTTTTACTAGTATGGTATTCTCCAAACCCAATATCTTAGTTTCTTAACTAAAAAATTAAGATGTGAAAATATAGGGTTCGTAAAGGAAAAATCTTTTTCTTTGTGATGTGGATATATTCATTAATGAACATCAGATAAAATATATCATTTCACTAAATGCACTAAATTTAAACTAAGGCCTATGTTCAGCAGTGGACTTGTGAAGGGCTGTGATGATGATGATGATAATGACTAAATTTAAACACGTGAGTCCGCTAAGAACTGACTAGAGTGCCTGACACCAAACGTATACGTGGGTCAAGTGTGTACACCAACGTAGGAGCATTGTACGCATACGTTGCGTAGGTGGGACCAGTCTGTTTCTCGTTTAATCCAAGCACGAACATTAATTAATCGAAAATAACAATCGTTTTCAACGCTTTTCAAATAGCTGGAAAAATTTGAAGTATTTTAAAGTAAAATAAATTTTCTCTTTTATTTAAAAATACATTTATTTTCTAACTTGAACGCTTGGAAAATGGCCCAGTAACGGAGAAGTGTGGGTACCGCCTTGTATTTCTGAACTTGGAAACATTTAACGCACGCATCCTGAGTACTGACGAGAAGATCCTGGAGTTTGAAGGAGAGAGATAAGTTCCACTAGATATTATAGGATTATCTGATATACAAAGAGGGGGAGAATACGGTAATCGTCAAATCCGGTAACTTTGTCTTTTACTACGATAGTCGCCATCTGTTTCATTTAGTCAGATTTATCGTTCACAAGGCTCTCTTTTACAACAGAATCAAGATCGGAAGTATGTTGATAAGGGCTATCATACCTTATACTCAGAATTACTAAAGGTAATCGTTGAAGTTCATACATATTCATGCACCAACTTTGGCATATCTCGATAAGAAGGTGGAAGAGAAATGTATGAAGGTATCTCTAGTCACGCATTTGTTTAAAACGCACTACATGATTTTAATGGTAGAGTACACTGCAAAACTAGGCAAAAGAAAGGCGATGAGTTGAATGAAGCAAGGAATATTAAGAATAGGTTAAAGAAACCTAAGGGATTGAAGGCTTGAGTTCCGTTGGCTGCTGCCCGGTTGGTCGACTTCATAGAGAATGAGGAAATCGTTATGACGAACGCTTTTTTCCGGATACGATTCCACAAAAAGTGGACTTGGCCCAGTAAAACGAGATTTAACTTTATTGTGGCGACTAGGTGACACTGAAAAGTTTCAGGGATTTCTGTTTTCGTAAGAGTGGTAATCACTAACGAGAGAGGGATACTAAATGTCAACGTTAAATTGGAGAGTTCACGACTAATGGAGTCTTCGCTCTGTCCTCCTCGCGCTCTAATTCAAAGTCCCTAAAACTTTCAACTCAAATTATTAAAACGTTTTCAGTACCTACAACATTACAATACGGTGAACAATGTAAATGACTAACTTGTGGAAAGTAGATATGCGATTGTAACTAAGTTTTGCAAGAAACATTGCGAAGGAAACTAAAAACGATCATAGTCTTAATCTCATGACTATTGAACAGGAAATAATCCTGCAATCGTCAAGATATATGATACCGTAAAGGCACTTCAACAAACACATCATTCAATACAGGTCGTATTAAAGAAGCGATTGATTGAAACCAAGGCTCCATAGTCTTTTTCAGAGATCTGCTCGCCGGCCGGTCGCACGCAGACTTGAAGACTTCCAAACTCCTGAACTAGCCGGTTTCCTTAAAAGTATCCTAAACTACAATATTCTAATGAACGGAAGACTGAAGGGTACCATCTGCCAATTTGACTTGCGTATGTAGACTTTGATTCCATCGAAACTAGAGTGGCGCTACGTACCCTTCAGCAGTATCAGATTAAGTCTCGATACGAGTATATCAGAGTGTGTGTAGTGGCAATTCGACTACAGAAACAGTTTACCTACGTAACCTATTCAACTACAGAGAAGTATAAGCGCATATGAGTAAAGAAACCGACCAGAAGCAAAGTTCCCTACTTTGCTTTATTGAGTAGTATGAGCAAAATTTTCAAAATTTCGCGAATGATTTGATTTCAAAATAATCAGTTTGTGATAGTGATGTTTAAAACATGGTCAAGCTTGTATATGTCATGTGAGTGCTTTCTATTGGATTATTTAAGAAAGAAACTTTATATTACATTTAAAGTTTACCGTGCAACTATATAAAAATATATTATTTAGAGTAAATATTATTAAAAATACTAGATATAAATTTTGAATACTCCTTATAAGCTTTGTCTCTGGTCGGTTTCTTTACTCGTGTGGTGTAAGTCAGGGTGACATTATATCCCCAAAATTCGCCACCGCTACATTAGAAGACGGTTTTATGTGACTGGATTGAAAAGAATACGGTATCAAAATCAATGGCGAGTACTTCACTCGCCTTCGATTTTCCGACGATATAGTTATCTTAAGAATCGGTTGAGGACCATATCACTATGCCTAATGACTTCAATAATGACTCAACAACAACAACAAAATTAACATTAAAAGGACAAAGGTCATGTATGAACGTCAATGTCACATCTATACGCCATTACATGTTAGGAATACTACGCTTGACAAGATCATATGTATTTAGGGCAAATTATCCAACTAGCAAATTCTAACTTCGACCAAGAGGTCAATCGACGGATATAGTTCGGCTGGGCAGCTTTCGGAAGATTACGTCATATGTTTTTTTTTTTATAGGATAGGGTGACAAACGAGCACACAGTCCACCTGATGGTAAGTGGTTGCTGTCACCCATAGACATCTACATCTATCCTCGTTTACGAATCGAAATGCAGATGCATTGTCACCCGTGAGGACTAAGGTGGAGTGCCTCGTTTCCTGTAAAAGGGTCTCCGGTTCTCTACACTCACCTTACGAAACACAGCACCATTAAGCTACTATTTTACACTGGTATTCTGTGAGAGCGTGGTTCTTCCCCGGTCGAGCCGAGCGAAGTTCGTGCTACAACTATACTACTAATATAACTGCAGCATGGCTCTATCATGTACAATATGTCCCCGGCACGTACTTCTCAAAGTTTCATATAGTATAAAAGTAATAAAAATATTAAATACATTTCAAGTTGCGTACTTTGTTATTAAAATAAGTTATGAGCACAATTTAAGATCTAATTAGTATAATAAGACTGGAACGCAATTAATAAATATTTACGAACGTTATTATAAATATTTACCATGATTCTTACCTACCTACAAGTAATGGCTTTTATCTGAATTTTTTTTCAGGACCGCTAGCGGTAATTGCTTTTGCTTTTATTGCTTGTAAAAATTGGTCTGAAATGGGTTGGGAACTCGAGGACAATCCCGTTGCGACTGCGTTTGAAATTTTCTGGATGCTATTTGAACCTATGCTGTTCTCTATTACTGGAGCGCAAGTAGTTGTAAGTACAATTAATTAAACTTATGGCGAATTTAAAATACGCACCTTAATTAAGCAATTCTACTGCCGTCGTTTTCTCAGTCTCTAATCATATATAATATATAATATTATTAATCATTTGTTTATCATACATCTTAAAATTTCTGTATACTCTTCGATTAGATGGAAAAACGTAACCGTAACCCTCTTTTTATTATATAGTGACGACCAGATGCGATAACCGGCCGGGATGTCTCTTAATAGTTTTTAACGATTACTTGCGACAGTGCAGCAATCGTTAAAAAATCGTTGTTTGGTAAACAAGTTAAGGCTAGAAAGGAAAAGTTATATAGGGCACGAGATGCTGTAGCCAGTATTTGCACTGTACGATATAACGCAATAATATTTTAAAATTTGGCAAATATGTTAAAATTTATGATGAAATGGAGGCATAATGATAATCTAATAATACTGCTAAAATTGTCTCCTCACTTAAGAGTAATCTCACTGGGTTTCTTGCTGGTTCTTGCCAGGAAATTTTCCGAACCACTGGCAAATAACGTAATTGAATTTCAATAAGTATTATGTAAGTCTGCAAATCAAGCCGCCAAATTTCACGAACGGACATCTCTTCAAAATTCACTAGCAGTCGCTTACCATCAGGTGAGCCGCATGCTTGTTTGCCCCCTCTTCGATAAAAAATTGTTAAATTTTATGCTAAATGCATATTAAATCACTTAAAATCTATTTTTTATCCATAGATTAAAGATTTGGAGCCACATTTAGTGGTAGTTGGATGCGGAATACTAATAACATGCGTTGTTCTTCGAGTAATAGTCACCAGCGTCTGCGCAGTACGTAGCAACTTAAATATGAAAGAAAAGGTCTTCGTTGGACTCGCCTGGATGGCAAAAGCAACCGTGCAGGTAAGATTTCCTTTTGAACTAGATATTTTAATAGAAAATCATATGAAGGTATAACTAAACGAGCTATGGAAATCGTAACACTCGATAATAAAATCCAAAACGAGAATATTTCAGCAAAATCTGATTAACATATAAATCCAATGGATATAGTGGAGAGCTGTGATAATCTGTCAATTTATTGAATTGTTTGAAGAACTGACAATTATAAAGGAAGAAAAATTCTTGGCTCGCAGTTCCATACCCACGATACAGCAGCATTAAGCTGCTATTTTACGCTGGTAGACTATGAGAGCGTAGTCCTTCCCTCGTCGAACGGACCCACTCGTGCTACAACGATAATATAGCTGCAGCATGGCTCTACCACGTATAAAGAATGGCCCTTTCGACGAAAATTTCACTTGAACGAAGTTCTCTGACTGACTAACTTTAACCACAAAAACACAGGCTTGCCACATGTCTGCAAAGCTTAGGTTACATCTCTTACAATGAACTATAGAAAATATAAAAATAGATACCCCCACCCCTGCTGTAAGGATTTCTTCTGCGTTGTGGACTCTTGTAGGCGTTTTATAATCACTGAATTCACCGTATAAATACGCTGCATCCCCTGCTTGATTCGGACCCGCGAACCTCATCTAAATCGTGTAGTCACTACGCTTCCGAACCATTTCGGTAATAATTATGAGTTGTTATTTCATTATATTGTTGTATTAGTCAGCAATTGTGGTCAGCGGTTCGGGAGATTATGTATCATTACATACAAAAACAAACAATACCTTTTTGTCCCGTTTATCTCAAAATTTGAAAACAGGAGCGTACAGCCATTTCGTTGCCAGTGATCTTATAAGTGATTGATCTGAGACGAGATCCTTCATTGCTTGCCATATGAGAAAGCTCAGGGATGTAGAGTCAATATGAAGAGTCAAAACAGACTTCAAAATGAAGATATTATCCCAATGGCAATGGGACGGCCATATATCTCTAAATACTTTTAGAGCTCGGCTCATTGATCATAATGACAATAGTTTGTATAATAATTATCATTATCTTGTTTTAAAGTATTAACCGTGTAGTGGCGGTGTAAGAATATGAGAGAGGAGAGGGTGTGGTAACAGACGACAGTGAGAAAATGTAACAGGAGGTGGACAAAAGAATCTTCCTGAAAACAACTCAAAATAGTTTAAAAAAACTGCGGTTACTAACCCGCTTGCCAAGCGTGTCGGCTTTGGTGAAATCCTCCCATGAATATATCTATGAGGGAGGTCTATGTTCAGCAGTGCACTTCTATAGGCTGTAATGGATAGATGGGTGAAAAAGTTTTATTTTTTCAATTCATACGTGTATTTTTTTTTTCATTTTGATCATTTTCAATTATAGCCTGAAGAATTTAATGACGACTTATCTAGGATTCATGCCCCATTTTAATGCTTCATATTTAGTTAGATATTACAACAAAAATAAACTGCATTTTACAGGCTGCATTAGGTCCAGTAGCCCTAGACGAAGTGCGCAAAAAGGCTACTGAAGGAGAACCTCTTCTAGAACTTCTGAATTACGCTGAAATTATCATAACTATTTGCATTATGTCCATCGTGATTACCGCACCACTGGGAGCTATTGTCATCACTGTGACAGGACCTAGACTGCTGTCGAAAACAACCAAGCCGCCTGTCTTGGAAGGTGTGTATTATTTACTAATCAAACTTGTATGTATATCACATAAAATATATTGGTGCCGACAAGGATTAAATTCGAATTTTGCGCGTAGTACGAGTACTATGTAATTTGTGATAAGCGCTTGATCCGTTAGCTACCACGGATCTATTTATAATTAATTGATTAAAGTTAGTCCATTTTTTTAGTCATGTTTTACTCGTATGAATAAAATTCAATAGGAATATAATATTATTTATTAAACACTTAAATGAAAATAAAATAAAATGTCAATTTGGTTACAATGATACATAAAATAAAATAATAATCAAAGAAGTTATTTCATATATACTTCCAACACTAAAAAAAATTGTGCTTTATATTATACGATAAGTTAAAAATAACATTGGAAGTCTTGATAAAACAAATATCACATTATGAATTTTTTCTAATGGGGAGGATAAGAAAAGTGTTGCGGCGTATTTTTATGAGGGTCATATTGAGGTCCATTATTATAAGGAGTATAAAAATTATTTGGTCCTGAAGGAGGGTTATATTGGGGAATATTAGAATTGTATGGACTAGGAGTTTTATTAGGTGCAGGCTGATAATACGGATATGAGGTGACGTTTGTTCCATTATATGTTGTAGGCCCATTTAAATAAGGATTAACAAGATAACCTGAGGCATTTAAATGCGTATAGTTTGCAGATGTCGGATAATAACCATGAGGGTTATAATGATTTCGTTCAGAGTTATTTGCGTAGGGTCGGTTAGGAGAATAAGTAGGACCTTGATTGTTATTGCTAGGGTACGACGCATAAGACGCATTCACCAAATTATAATATGGAGTTCGTTGATTAAATGAATTATTTAAAGGCGTTGAATTATTTGCCCCATAGAAGTTAGTATAATTGGTATTATATCCCAATGTTTGATTGACGGGTGGTCTTTGATTAAAGGGGGGATATGTATTGCCATAGTTTTGAAAAGAATTTGGATTGTTTGAATTAGTCGCGTTGCTATAAAACTGTGTGGGTCGATAGGTTGAATTATTCGAGTACGGATTATGAGTAGGGCGATAAAAATTGGAAGAATTACCTGCATTATTCTCATATGGCCGATTAATATTCGGTTTTGGACTTGGTGGATATGTATGTCTAACATTTGGAGAATATGATGGGTTAAAGTTATTAGTATAATTATTATTGTAAGGTGGATTTGTAGGTTGTCTTTGATATGACGGGGACATAGGACCATTGGGCTGCGGATACGTGGAATAGGATGGGTTGTAAGGATTAGTAGCATTGTTAAATGAATTATACTGTTGATTATTAGAATTATACGGATATGGGGACATAGAACCATTGGGCTGCGGATACGTGGAATAAGGTGGATTGTAAGGATTAGTAGCATTGCTAAATGAATTATATTGTTTATTATTAGAATTATACGGATACGCGTTATTTGGAGGCTGATAAGGATATGAAGTAGGCAGATGTGGATACAGAGATCCAGGATTTGTCTGTCTAATTACTCGATGTTTTTGCAACAAAAAGCAGAGGGAATTCAAACACTTTGTCTCAGTATCGTCGCGAAGGAAATTATCTTTAGCTTCGTTTGAATTCAATGTTTCCGAGTTAATATTTCCAGTTTTCAGGTCATTTTGCCAATCAACGCCATTTCCTTTTAATATAGGCGTCAATGATTCATACTTCGTGTTGTCTGCAGTAATCTCCCATACTCCAGCATGATTTTTCACATTTTCACATAAACATTTAGTTTTTCCACTGAATAGCACAAATATTGCTAATAGGATGTAACGAACAGTCGGCGTCAAGATCATTTTTGTTACTGAGCAACGATGAATATAAAGTATGACGCAACACAAACAACTAGTAAGATATTATACTCTGACCTTGTTATCTCAGTTCGTAATGGTCACTTAGTATAGTAGCTAGTAAAAAATTTAAGGCGATATTAACCAACATTATTGAATTAATATTGATATGACCTCTCTGACCCACTATCTCTCAAGCCAATTAAAAGTTATTTATTTGTTGAGGATGTAAAATATGTTGTTTTTACTTATTAAACCTTGCATTTACACAACTCAACAGCTGCGAATAAACCGTAACGATTTTGAGTTGTTTAGTTTGTATGCATACTTTTTCTTTTTTCTAATATTTTAAACAATAAAGATTAAATAAAATTTTAATTCTAATAGATTTTAAGATTTCACTTGTATATATAATAAAAACCAAAAATTATGTTGTAGATTATGATAACTAGCAATTTTTAGCTATTCAAGAGATGGCAGTTAGATTTTAGATAGTTTAAATCAATGTACATTTAATAAAATCCACTTTGTGTGTGTCAGGACACACATAAAGTGGAGGTAGGGTTTCGTAGTTGCCCCTTACCATACGTGAATTTAGATACTATGAGCATATTGACTTCCTGGTTTGATCACTATATCGACTAAAAATAGGCCCATATAGGACGATGGTAACCGAAGGATTTATTTTCCAGGCAGTCTTATATGGAGTTATATTCAAAAAAGATTTTTTTATTTTAGTAAAATAATACGATCTACATCAAACCATTGCTATTCTTAGTCCGTACAAAAATGATCCTAGTTTTCTATCAATTTATTAGTTCCCGGCGGTGCAACTCTAAGATAAGCATCACCATAACTTCCCGTAAACCACCACTGCCCTAAACCATCCTGAATGTTGCCCCCCTAAACTAATAAACTAGACTTGCAACGAATATTCGGCTATATTCGGCATTCGGCCTATTCGGCCCCATTTATCCTATTGTGAGGTGCTATTCGGCCAAATACCGAGACCGAATACATAAGTAAGAAGTTTTGTTGTAGTCATATAATTGGTAAAATGAAAATATTGATTTATTTTATCATAATATATTTTACTTGTAATCACTAAAGTAGTCATAGGTACATCATTCAAACATACAACTTCCACATTATAAAAATTACTGAAAAAATTATTAAACAAACAATCTATCGTAATTAAAATTTGGAAGTGGAAGTCCAAGAGTCCGCGACGATCAGACCTTCGTTATTTTATTAAAGCTGAAATTTTATCTGTGTATGTCCCCAATACAGGTATAAACGGTCCCCGACTATGCTCTGAATGAACGCTTCTTCCTTCCCGACTAAACTTTTTGCCTATTATTCGGCTATTTGGCCAGGTAGCTCGCAAAATATTGTGTATTCGGCATGTGGCTGAATATACTATTGGTTGCAATAAAGGTCTACAATAATCCTATTATAAAAAATCACCTGTATGGGTGTACCCAAATTAAAAATGTTTTTCGAAAATTATTTTCACAACCTTGCAAGCGTGACTAATATCTATAAGTAACTATGCCAAATAACAGCTTTGTAGCACGTAGAGTCTGCGTAAAACCGCGGACGAACTAACGGACGCAAAAGGCAAAACTTGTTATTTAATTACGGAACCCTAAAAGAAACCTTACATTTGCTTATCGCGAGAAAAAAATAAGTAATATATCATAAGAGAACACTTAAATTATGATTTTCTATGTATATCGCATTGTGATTTTCTATATGTATTTGAATATTTTCTTATGTCAGGTTGGCGGCGATCACATCGTCCATCCATTCGAGATATCTCGATTATTGATGAGGAAGAGGTAGTGGAACGCGAATGCGAAGTTGAAGCAAATAATTCTTCAAATGAGGGCAGTCCTGTGGGACCAAACGCCAACAGCACCCCAACGCCTGCTCCAGTGCCTATCACCGTACAACCCAACCATCGCACATGACCGCCACGAACGTCTACATGAACTACCGTCCATTGTACTTATTTTCATTCCACGCATAAAATATATTTAAGGAAATTTTGAGATAACTCAAAAGTTATTCAACATGTGCATTATTGCTGCATTTGTTACTGTTGTCAAATTGTTTACTGTTCTGTACATAAAATTTATAAAATAAAGTAATTTAATTTTGAAAAAAAAAAATAGCTTCTATAAAAACTGGTGTTTGTTCAAACTACTATGTGTTTAGTATAAAGAACTTCACAATGCCTTTTAGGTTTTGTTATATTCTAAATCATTTGACCTTCTAACTATAATATACAAATATATAAATATTATAGTTTGAAGGTCTTTTGCATGCATGTTACTCATGGTCATGTATAAACTGAGCACTTGAAAAGATAATAGTTATCATTGAATAATTTTAGCAAAATGTTATTGTGATAAACGAGTATACTTAATTATTTAATGAATTAAAAGAAACCTCGCCTTTACACTTTTAAATTAGTTGTTGTTACCTTATTTGATGTAATTATTTGTTATTTACATATTTTTAGTTAAGAATAGAGGATCAGTATTGTTGTAAAATCTGCATTAAACTAAATAGTGCTTTAACTATTAAAGAACTGTAAATATTTATAATTTTAAACATATATTGTTGTATAGCTTACGAATATATTTATATTTTAATATTTCCGTAATATGCAATATAATATTACAGATTGTCTTGTAATGAAAAATAAATAAATAATGTATTAACAATACGGAAATATATAAATAAATATATTTATTTACACATTATTGCTACGAAAATATATAAATAAAATATTTATTTATATATTTCCGTAGTAAATATTTAATAAAAATATTAACAATTTAAAATAAGACGAAGATTGTTAAATATATATTTATTTAAGAGAGTGTATTTTCTGCATGAATGAACAGGCAATAATTGAAAACTTTTTTCTTTGATTGTATGCAATCTTTATTAATCGTGTGTGTTATTGGGACCAATACTATAAGTATGTTTAAAGAATTTATCCCTGTGAATTTGATGCGCTTTTACATCAAATGAATTTAAAAGAGTAAATATAAGTCAGAAATGTTTATTTTAATAGAAAATATACCTTACTTAGTAGATAAGAACAATAAATAGAAGAAAAATGAAATACAGCAATACTTTAAAAAGTAAAGTGACACCTAATGATCCCTTAGCTGAACAAAGAAAGAGATCACATTTTCTGAAAGTGATCATAGCGCAGTCCCAATCTCAACGTGTTTTGAGACATAGGAATGGGCAAGTTCGTCATCCTATTTTCATGTGTCAAAATATTTTATTTATATGTTTAAATAGTTAAATTAGCTCTGGATAAGTGATTAATATTTTATTGAATTATAGACTTTTACCATTTCCACAATAATAAAATTAAATACACATGAATTTAATGGATGTGTCAAGGAAATAAAAAATACTTCTAATTACTCTAACTTTTACGTAAATATTTCAAATTAAAATAGTCGTGTAATGCAATCAAATGTAACTGAAAATTTAAGATAATAGGGGAATTTTGGCACTTTTGTTTAAATGAGGTGTCATTAGAAAAAGTATTTAAAATTACTTATGTACAATGTGGTTGAAAAAAATTGCAATAAAAAATAATTTTAATAAGAAAACTCTTAATTAATCAAAATCCTTTCTATGGGAGCACAAAAATATTATTGATCAAGCAACTACATAAAAAGTTGAAACCAACACCACTGGTAAATATTCAATAGTTTTAAGTCATAAAAAAGAACAATACCTATAACTCCATGTGATATTGCTCCTTTATTACTAAGCACTGACTAACACGGCGTTGGCTCCAAGGCTTAAAGAAATAACCGTCCATCTCAGTTTCAGCTCAGCTCAGACCTGGCTGGCAAGTGACTATTTTTAATTCCTAGAGTTTAAAAACACATTCTTGATCTTACTCTTATTAGAATATTTTTATAAGGAATGGAAGAGCTTATATCGCCACCGAATATTGATGTTATATATTTACTAAACGCCTTTCGTACCAACTATGTCTGACTTAATATTTAATGCAGCAATTTGAGGAAAGTAAAGGAAAGTAAAGAAAATTACAATCTCAACCCTGTCTAAATAGTTTAATTTAAAACGAAAATTTAAAAAAATAACTAATTTTAATATAAAAAATAATTGAAAACAAATCGCTTCGCCTTTTAGGTGCTAGGAGCATCTGGATGACTCTTCTCAAATCCATGTCAGTGAAATAATTTTAAAGTTATTGAAGTCATCTAGTCGTCTGTCAGAAATTAGCCCACATACGAGTATGACATATTATGCAATACTAAAATTTTGTCTTTTGTGCCAAATTTCACATACGTGCTGCGGTGTTCAACTAAATGGTTTTTCAATAGGGATGCTCGAACTTTGACAGCGTATAAGAACCATCTTCGTATGGAGGGTAAAGGATGATTCACGTTACACCGTGTCGCGACCGGTCCGGGGCACGGTCATACATCTAAGCATATTTTTGTATGAAGTGATTCATGCTTGACCGTGGCCCGGCCGTGCGACACCCGGACCTGGACGGGGCACGGCGTCGAAATGTCCGTGGGTATTATTTCCTGGCTCCGGCCCGGCCCGACTCCGACACATTGTAACATGAACTTGTACGCCGGGCGCCCACAGGGCAGTCGACGACAAATCTTTGAGATGTGAGCAGCCCAATATCGAAATGAACGATGGAAAATTGCTAGAATGTGTGCGCCATCCATTGACATGATCCATCCTAAGTATTTGGATAGTAATTATAAAAATGTTATTTGGAATACAGTATCAATTCAAGTTGTGAAAATTGCATATTTAACTCAAGCGTCACGTCTATCGACTGATGAAATCACTAGTAGATACAAAACACCTATCACAGACGCGGCTGTGCAAAGAATACACGCAAACAGCCCGATGTAGCATGATTGACTGGCTAGGACGGCGCACGGTGGACGAGTCACGAGTGGAGCCCGGCCCGGGCGCGACACGGTGTAACGTAAATCATACTTAAAGGTAAGAAGGATCATTTCATGTGGGGATCAAGTCGAAAGTGTCCAGCTGTAAGCAGAAAATTATAGTTCAATAACCCACCAAAATAGCGCTAGCGCAACAAAAGGAGATGACAAAGTCCTCGAAATTATCATTTAATAAATTCAATGTTTCTCGTGCAGTACGGCAAGTGGACAGTTCTGTATAAATCACATAGTTGTGAGGTCCATACTACCTATTCTAGACAACAAAAAATTTGTTATCATCGTCCGATATCAGTCGTCATTAAAAGCGAGCGTTGTCTTTGCGAATCTTCCAGGCCCGGTCAACTCTGTATGGACAGAATGAAATACCTACGGGGGCTGAATTTTATTATTGCCATTTGTCAGATAAATGTCTTGTTTCATAATTAGTAAGATTTTGCTAAAGATAAATTACACCCAAAAATTTTGAATACAGAAATAATAATCAATAGGAAGATAACTATGCCTGTCGCACTTTTCTACATTATTATATTAGCATATCCTTGACAGTAAAAGAAAAATAAACGTTTTCTTTTTGTTTTGATTTTCAATGAGTAGAAAATTATATTTTTTACTGGTAACACCAAATACCTAAATGAGTATATATTTCTCTTTTCTCATAATATGGCGTCGCCGTATAAATTATTGTTGTTCATGATTGGTTGTTATGTTTGTTTTGCTTGTGTCTTTTACTAAGATTTTGCAAGTTTACGATGTTGAGTTGAGATTAATGTCCTTCATTTATATGATGTGCAATGTGTTAGTCAATGAATCGTAGTGAAATACGAAATAGTGACTCTTAAAAACTACGCTGCAATGGCGGATAAAGAAAATAGAAAAAAGTGTTCTAAGTGCAACAGCATACCAACCATTGACAAGTTAAATTATTTAGGTTTCCGAAATTCGCAGTAAAGTATATTTTGCGGTACGTATACGATATACATATACACTATTTAATAAGTTCTAACCTTAAAGTAAATCTCTTGTCCAACTTATTGTTTCTCTTTTACCATTTAAAAACAAATTATTGGTTTGTAAACCATTAATTTGTTTTTAACCTACTTTGATAATATTTGTATTTAATAATTATATCTTTTGTTTTCAGTTGTAAATTATGGTCGAAATATTATATTCCTTCCCAAGAGCAGTATACTACTTTAGCTTTCCAAAGCTACATAATAAGCCCAGAATGCTGTGTGAAAAACATTTTCATGATGATTAATTTAATGATGCAACCAAGAAAAAGCTCTTAAGCACTGCAGTCCCATGTGATGTAAGTAAAGTGTATAATGTATATGGTAATATGGTATGTATATAGTTTTCTTTAAGGATTACTCAGATATTTTATATGGGGATTACTATATTCAGGAGTGGACTTTGATAGACTGTAAAGAAGATGATGATTATTCATATGACCATCATCTGGATCTAACATAGATGAACAGACCACATACTGTAGTTTGAATCCTGTTAATTCTTTCAACTAATTTATAATAATTGGATCGGACAAAGCATCCAAAGGATTGAAGTCTATAAAGTTAGCACAAGCCTTTCCTTACATTATTAAAAGTGCAACACACTGCATATTATTTTTAACAATCAAATTTTATTTTAAATCAACAACAAACCTTAAGAAAGTTCCGGCATCACAATATATGAATAATTACATTTCGTCCTAAACCTATCAAATTTAAAGGCACAACTTGTACAACACAGTAGAAATACATGCATCAAATGGTTCTCAAACATTAGATAAACACAAGATTTCTTTTCACATAGTTATTGTATTTACTATCTTATTTTGTTATATTAATTGTAATAGTGGGCGTATTATAGAGCAAGTTGGATGAACAAGATCCATTCATTTATTTTGTATTGGTAGAAGGGTAATGTAGTGCCATGAGTAGGGACTGATTTACTAGAAAGTAATGTCAATG